AAGCACTGGCTGTTCCTCAGACAGCTGAGGGTTCAATTCCCAGCACAGACAGCAGTTCACAGAGGTCTGTAACTTCACTTCCAGAGGATCCAGTGCCTTCCTCTGGCTTCCTTCTGCTCTAGGCACATAAGCAATACACAGACATAGAAGCAGGCAAAACACCCATACACAGAAATCAAATTTATTAAAAAAAATACAGAAATAATTGGGTGTCTAGAATTGTGATACAACCATACAATTGTACATTGTGCTGCCATTTTCGGTTATGTTTCATAGAGTCCTAAGTGATATGAAACAACATTCATATCACTTACAAGAAACATGGATTGAAAATTAACAAATGCAGTAAGATCTTAAATTACACAAAGGAAAAACCACACATGCTCGCAGAAAATGTTAGGGGGAAACATTAAAATGAACTGTTTGATGTTGACACCTTGATTTATTTTTGGTTTGTTCTTTCTGATTGTTGGTATTTCCTAAATCGTCTACTTTTAGAATCAGAACTTTTTATTAAAAGCAAAAAAAAAAAAAAAAAAAAAACTGGGCATGGCACATGTCTGCATCCCAGCCCTTGTGAGGCAGAGGCAGAAAGATCGGTTCAAAGCCATCCTCAGCTACACATAGTGAAGTCTACCTTGGTTGTATGAGTTCTAGAGTAAACATTGTTTATTTTTTAAATAGGTTCTCATGATGTAGCTCTGACTGGTCTATAACTCCTATGTAGACCAGACTGGCTTCGAACTGACAGACTGGACTGCTTCTGCCTTCAGTGTTCTGGGATTAAAGGCATGAGCTACTGTGTTGGGTCAAACATCTTATTTGTCCTTCCAGTGAAAGACCTGCAGTTTTCTTTGGACACATACCCTCTACTATTTCAGCCTATAGAATATGGGTGAAGGCCGGGCGGTGGTGGCGCACGCCTTTAATCCCAGCACTCGGGAGGCAGAGGCAGGCGGATCTCTGTGAGTTCGAGACCAGCCTGGTCTACAAGAGATAGTTCCAGGACAGGCTCCAAAGCTACAGAGAAACCCTGTCTCGAAAAACCACAAAACAAAAAAAAAAAAAAGAATATGGGTGAAGAAGACCGCCAACCCCAGCTCCATTGGGGGATGGGCGTATGAAACAGAACCAGCTAATCCTTGAATTTCTTTCTTTCTTTCTTTCTTTCTTTCTTTTTTTTTTTTTTTTTTTGAGACAGGGTTTTTCTGCGTCGCCCTGGCCATCCGGAAACTTACTGTTTAGACCAGTCTGACCTCAAACTCGACAGAAATCTACCTGGTCCTGCCTCCTGAGTGCTGCCACCACACCTGAGCCTAGGCTCTGTCTTCTATCCCTCTGGCTTCAGGGATGAGCAGGTGACTTAAGACTGGACAGTGAGACTCAGTCACTACTTTTATTTTTAATTTATGTGTTTATTTATTTGAGACAGGGTCTCCCTATGTAGCTCTAACTGTTCTGAGATCTGCCTGCCTCTACTTCTCCCAAGTGCTGGTATTACAGGCGTGTACCACCACTGCCGCCCAATCACTATTTTTGTAGAAGAGGATGATGGGGCAGAAAAGTTGTGGCTTCGTTGGCAAAAGGAAGCTGTAAGCCCAGCTGCCTGTGTATACACGACACCAAGAGAGCAACACAGGAAAGTGTGTGTGAGGATGGAGGTGGAGGGGGAAAACCATCTTCATTCAACACACACACACACACACACACACACACACACACACACACTCACCACCACCTTTCAAATCCTGACAACCTGGAGTCCTTGGATGCAAGAAAGTCTGAAATGCAAACACCCCTGAGCCTTTCAGGTGTAAGCACCAATAAATTCCGTTTCTTTGTTTGCTTGCTTAAGTCAGTGTGAAATGCCTTCCTGCCAGCTGCAGTCAATAGCCCCTCACTAAAATAATGACAAAGACAGTAAAAAATATATATATATATAAAACACAATCATGATAGCGTCTATGGCGATCACAAATACAGTATAGAACTGACCCGTCTATACTCTCTGAACAATAAGCAGTCCCATCTCTGAAATGTTCACTTGGACAGTGCTCATCTATAACACAGTTCCTGCCCATAGCCCTGCACTAATAGCGCCTTACACATGTCTTCATGCAGTACAAAGCAGGCAGGGGGTACTGCTGGAAATATCTAACAACCCTAAAAGCACAGGTACTGGAGGCTTTCTGCTGTGCTCAGCATTCAACCTGCAATAGCTGGATCTAAGGAGAGGTGAGGTGTCTCCAGAGTGGGTGGGAACAGGGGGGCACTTAGGACGTGTTTAGGGGCTGGCTTTAAAAACAAAAAATCAGTACAGTAAGACTTCAATATTCTAGCAGCCAGCCTGTATGGCCTTGTTGGAGTGTACGGGCTCAACATGAGCTCCGTTCTCAGATATTATTGTTTCTTATTCGAGAGGCTGTTTTCCCCGTTGCACTGTGAATTCCTATAGGCAGGGATTTTTGTCTTATTAATTTGTGCATAGGTCTTGGTGCCTACAGGCAAGTCCCGGCATTCAATAATGTTTGCTGAGTGATAAATACGAATGACAATTCAAAAATTCTGTAATTCTCCATTCTGATTTTATTTTTCCCTGATAGAAATTTCTTGCCTGGAATTAGATTGCAGTGTGTTTTCTTTCCACCACACTCCCAAAGATGTCATCCTCTCTAATGTCAGCTGATTGAAGAAGAGAATCATCATTTTTCTCTCTCAGGCATAATGTTGATATTTCAACTCAAGTGGCTTTTTTTTTCCCTTAACATAAAATGGATTTTAGAAATAAATCAAGATCCCAAAAATTTAGGATTTCTTTTTTGAGGTGGTATCTCTTACCTCTGCTATCCTAAGAATAAAGTGTAGCTTGACACCTCTCTACAAATGTATGACTGGAACTATCTCCTAGGACCATGAGCACGGGCTCCTACCTTGGACCCTAAGAATTGTGATAATAAGGCCACATCTACTAATAACGTGCCTTCCTCCTCCTTGCTGTCCAATAGGCACTTCAAAAACTGCTTTGAATGAAGGAACAAATAAAATGGTTTCAGGAGAGGCAGTTGTATGCCTGGATCATTTGATCATCCTCTGGTACCAATAAGTTTTAAGTGGATAGCTTTAAAAAAGTATTTTCTTAAGCCAACATAGGACCTGTCAACATCCAAAAGGACAGCTTCAAAATTAAATGAAGTCAGAGAACTGGGAAGTGATATATCATTCTTGATGATACTCAAAGAGGCCACATGTGTTTAAATTGTTTTTCTTGATGATTATCTCCCTTTATTTTCCATTCTTAAAAAAATGTTTACATATTATCTATCTATCTATCTATCTATCTATCTATCTATCTATCTATCTAACGTTTGTGGGTGTCTGTCTGCCCTATTTCGCTCTCTTAAGCGCCCTGTGGGGGTGTTTTATCCATTTACCAGGATGCCAGTGAGACCACTCAGAGTACTTGTCACTAAGCTAGACAGACAACTTGAGTTTGACTCCCAGGACCTACAGAGAAAAGAGAACACACTCTCGAAAGTTGTTCTCTGACATACACATGTGGCAACTTCAATTAAGTATATCAGTAAACTAATAAAAATGATAAAAGTAGTAAAGAATATACAGGGAAAACACAGTTCCCAGAGGAAGTCTTAGAATGAGGCCTCAAACTCTCTGAGTCTCCCCACTATTAGGTGTGTAATCTTGGGTCACTTTAAGAACTAAAGTAATAGTCATTTATTCTCCCTACTTCACAGAGTTAATTGGAAGCCTGGATAATGGGGTACAGAACTATAACCCACTACGGGCGATTGTTACTGTCCACCCACAGACAGCCACAGTGACCACAAAATGCTCCTAAGTAGATGCTGTGTTAACAGGATTACTTTAGGAGCTGGAGAGATACGTCACTGGCTAAGAACAGGAAGAGTTCCCAGCAGTTGGGCTCCCAGCACCCACAAGGTGAGTCACAACCATCTGTAATTCCAGTTTCAGGGCATCTGACGCCTTCTTCTGACCTCCCTGGGCACTAGTCACACACGTGGTGCACAAATATATATGTGGGCAAAACAGTCATTTTTTTTTTTACTTTTCAATTTGCTCCTAAGGCTGGCCAGAACAGGATAGAGGTGGGGGGAGGGGGATTGTGGGTGGCGTGGGGATCAGGGTAGTGGGTTAGATTAAAAAAAAAAAAAAGAAAACCTGCAAGAGAAAAGGCACCCAAATGCAAATGGGCCTTAAAACTCGTGTTTCCAAAGCTAACTACTTTGCAAGGAGCCTCACCACACTCCACTGGCCCAGTTTCCACAAGTCTCAGCAGGAGCTTGGTTGGGCGGAGGTCCACGCTGGCCAATGGAAATCAGCTGTGTTCTTACAGGTTTCACAGCAGGTGGAGAAACTGAGCAAGAAAAATTACTTAAACGTGGGCTTAGCCTTTCATCGCGGTGCGGGGCGCCACAAATAAATGTGGCCCCTTTACTAGCAGGAACGGAGAACAATGTAGGGGACCCAATTTCCTAATCCTTTCGCCGGGCAGTCCCGACTCGTAACACTTCCACTGCAGGCGGAGTAAAGCCTCTCCGCGCCGGACCGTGTTGGGGCGGAGGGGAGGGGGGACCCCTGCGGTTGTCCTTTATTGTCTAGGGAGCACCTGCCAGGTGGCTGGCCGGTGCCTATTGCGCGCGTGGCGCCAGGCTTCACAAAGCGCAGGCAGCACCTGCGTGACCAGCGAGCGGCCTGGGGCTGGAGGACCACCGGTGGAGGGAGAGTGCCGGGAGGAAAGAGGATCCAGGATGGAGGGGCTATGGGTGCTCCAGGTCTCAGAGGGCGCAGCGACCTCGGGATCAGGAGATCCCGAGAGTCCCGGGCAGCGGGAGGGAGCGCGACCCGGGCTGGAGGAGGGAGGGGCGTGGCCGCGCGCTGGGGGAGGGCGCTGGAGGAGGGGCTGTCGCGCGCCGCTAGTGGCTCTGGGGGCTCGGCTTTGCCGCGCTCGGTGCACTTGGGCGAGAGCTGTAGCCGAGAGAGGATCTCAGAGTCTAGCGCAGCCACCGCGATGAGAGGCGCTCGCGGCGCCTGGGATCTGCTCTGCGTCCTGTTTGTCCTGCTCCGTGGCCAGACAGGTGGGAGAGCGCGGCAGATAAGAGGATTGCACCCTCCACCCCGTGGGTACAATCCTGGGTCCGGAAGGGGTGCCACCAGCCGGGGTGCGTTCAGAGTGGTGACTGTTGGCTTTTCCTCCGCCTGAGCGTTACAGCCCGTGCGAAGGTGGAGGGCGGCTGCGGGACTCTGTTGGCCCGCCTCGCTCACCTGCGCCAGGAGCCGGCAGCGGCGGGCTGTGGAGACCTGGGGCCGAGAGTCTTCCGGGAGCCGGGGCCGCGGGGCTGCGGGCGAGTTTGGCGATGCTTTTGTGCGGGCTGAGCCCGGGTGGCAGTGGCGGGCGGCCTCGGGCTTCGCACCGAGAGAGTCCTCTTTCAGTGAGAGGCGCGGTCACGGCTTCCTTTTGTTAAAAGTTGCGTGCGAGTGACCGGCACCCGTGAGAAATCAGCCCACGGGTCCCCGGACGCGCGCCGGGCAAAGTTGGAGAGCCGTTTTCTTTACACTGAGACCGCTGCTTTCCCACCGTGGGCGCTCTTTGTGCACAGGGCTGGGGATCCAGCCGCAGTCACTCTAGTCGTGCGCGGCGCCACCCGTGGAAATGAATCTCGGGCTCGTTTGTGACCCCCCCCCCCCTTATTTTGCACGGGGAACACGCGGCGTGCGGCTCTGGGGCGGGACCCCGCGATCCTGTAGGTGGCGGCTACAGAGACAACTTGAGCCAGGCGTGTGGCGAACAGCCGCTAGGTTGCAGACTTTTTCCTTTTGTAAATCTCCTGCTAAAGGCTCGCCCCTCTCTGCAGCCGCACGGTGTTCATTGCTGCCACGCGCCGGGGAGCTGCTGCAGCCTACGTTGGCCGCCAGCTCCTGGGAAGCAGGGTCCTCGTGCGGGGACGCAGCTGTTCCAAGCCACCTTTTGCGCCAGTATGAGGAACGAGCCAGGCCACCCCAGCTTTGGAAACCCTAGTCGCAGTGTATAAGACTTGTAATCGCAGGTGGCCGTTTTCTTTGGGAATCCCGAGATCTAGACACCTCCTCCCACGTGATAGCCATCCTCTGGCCGCATTGGGTAGGGTGGGGGGTGGGGGTAAAGGGGTGAACTTCGTGCAAATCCCATTTGTTTCTTCAAGTTGTTAGGAAAACCAGGGTACCTCTGCATGGGAACTTGGGTCTCAAGGTGGAAGAGGATCTGCAGGCTCCTGGAGCTCCTTAGCCCTGCCCCTTTTTGCCAGGTGTCGCTGGTGCGCTGCCTGTGCGGGTCGCCTGGCTAGTCCCTGAATCCTTGTTTTCTGCCAGGTCGTTTTCAAAACAAAACCTAGAAACCCTTTGAGGTTACCCTGATGCTATAGGTTAGGGAGAATCGGGCTCTGGAATGAAGCACTCAACGGCCAGCAACGCTTTGACCTGTTTGGAGCCCGCCGCTGGTTGCATTTTCCAGATCGCGGCATTTTCCAGATCCCACTCCCCGATGCTTTTGAAAGGCCCGGGAGGGCTTTCCTGTGGGGGAGACCTTGCAACTGGACCCCTGTGCCAGAGGAGGGGTCGCCAGGAAATACAAATGAGTGTCTGGATTCCTAGATGTGTTTGACCGCTTAGCCGAAAACGCCCCCAGCGATCTTTACACGTTCCACCTTGCTCTTCTTTAGACAAGGTGGAACACCAGAAAGATCATAGTTCCCCTTCAAAAGCTGAAACGACTCAATGATTTACGTCTTCCTCCTGATTAGTGTGCTCTGACCAGTAACTTTCTGGCAACAAACCCTTGCTCTGCCCCTCCAGTTTCAGGCCCCCTTTCCAAACCTACAGCCTCCTTGATTCTGCACTCTTGGGTGGGTCATTTGAATTCGGAGTGGGTGGGTGGCTTTGGTTTCTCTGTAGGTTCTAGAAGACATTGCATCATGAAGGATCGTGGTCTAAGGGGTGTGTGTGTGTGTGTGTGTGTGTGTCCTGCTGGGTTAGCAGGAAGCTCTTTTGTGTTTTTGTTTATGTTGTACTCTCCATTTGGAGGGCCAGCAAGTGCCTGCTCTGTAGTAACCCCTCCTCCTTCCTGGGCATTCACAGCTTTTGGAGCTCAACAGGATGGTCCTGAAACAGTGAATCAGACCTTCCCCCTTTCCGGCAGGTGCAAGACCCTAGTAATTTATGCACCTGGCATTCTGGTTTATGATCCTACTGGAAATAATCTGATAATTCTGGAATAGAGAGAGCCTTCCCCACCCATCCACGCATTCTTTTTTTCTTATGACGTTTTAAATCATTCAAGGCGTGCCTTTGCAACATGCTTTCTAACGTGCCTTAAATATCATATCATGAATGTGCTTTGTGCATCCGTGGGACTTTATAATCAACAAATGTCTGCCAGGCCCCGTGGTGAGGGCTTTCCCTGCTGTTTCCCTATTTAGGGGGCCCGGGAGGTTGGGCCACTACAGCCTCTACTATTAAACTATTGGAGAACAAGTTACTTGCCCAAAATAATCAGTGAAGGACCCTGAGCTCAGCTCCATATGCCCACTGCGTATCCATTTAAACAGCTCGCCAGGATTTGCTGTAAAGTAAGACACGTACAAAATCATTTAATGAGTGCTTATTATATGCCCAGCCCTGTTCTGAGGGTTCAAGGACACAGGACTGCTGATTTGGGTAAGAGGGCTTCAGGCTGTTTGTCTTAGAACATTTGGTTAGTCTTTTCAATTTAGGTGAGTTAATTTGCCAGGAGGATTCACTGAATAGCTTGGACCAAGGGCAAGTGAACCTGTTGTATAAGGGGTTGGGGGAGGGGTTAGCCTGTCCCATCTAGTTAGGGTTCCTCAGAAAGGAAGATAAGTTATCTCTAAAATGAAGTTGGAAACCATTCCCAGCCCCCCTCAAGTAAAGATGATTATACCGTTATATATTTGTCCCTGATAACTGGCTTCTCAGCTGCCGTTTACTCTGGCCCAGCACCGAGAAATACAGTGACCATTTTACTGCACTCCCAGAAGAAATTCTCCTCAGAAACGTGCCAAGTATTCCGTGGACTTCATTGAGTGAGCTGAGGTTGCAGGTGTTGTTTTGGTAACGGATTTTGCCATGGTTGTTGACAGTCCTTAGAAGTTACTTCTAGGACTTTGACTCATTACTTCCAGCTGACGAGAGGACACGAGGAAATGAGCAAACCAGCCAGGATGTCCAGAACCGACTTCTTAGTTGGATCCTAAGCCCTTAGAAGCAGGGGGCCACAGTCTCATCTCTCTAGGATGAGTTAGGTTCAAGAGTTGGCGGGCGGGAGTGTGGGAAGTGCTGTAGTCATGTGTGGTAACTTTTCCAAAAGTGGGATTAAAAGACATTTGTAGGGATCCAAATATGTAAAATCTCATATGCAGCTTCAGCAGCACCAGTCGCTATTTTCACGGCTGCAGTTCTGGGGTGAGCAGAGCTTGGAAGGGAGTCAGCGGTAGGGAAACGCTTGAATCGAGGACAAATCCGGCATGGATCTTGCTGAGCCGCAGAGACCTGGGAGCAAGCCTGGCCCCCTGGCTTGGATTGTGTGGTTCATCTCGGACTTCAGTCTCCAATAAATGAAGAGTCGTTTGAAGCCAGTAGCCAGCTAGCTCCTAGGCATGCTTGTTTGGCTGACTGGATGCTTCTAGAAAACATGGAAGACGATTCCAACAAAATGCTCCAACCTGATCACTTGCCATCCCTCTTATGTGTCAGCTTCCGTTTTGGCCCTGACATGTGTCCCCATGCACACCTTGACAGAATGTAACGTTTAAGTTCAGTTATTTAGGGCAGATGGCATCAGAGTTCAGGGCTCAGTTTCTGGAATTGACATCCCGTTCTGCCACTTACCCGCTGTGTGATCAGATACCAGATGCTTACCCTCTGCGTGGGGGGAGGGGCAGCAGGGTCAAGGCGCAAAGGCTGGGGATTGATCACAGGAGGTTCTGTAGTTGGCATGCCTAGCATGGAGCCCTTCTCAGGAAGTGGGTGGTCTCTGCAGGGCTGGGATTTTATAGCCCTCTCAGCTCAGTCTCTTAGAGGGAAAAGGCAACCGTGCAACTGGCGTAAAACCTGATGGCTTTGGTTGTTTTACCTGTTTGGATTTTTTTTTTTATTAAGATGAAACTTATTCATTGAATGACTAGGTCTTTAAAAACATCTTCTGCCCATGGTGATGTGCGCTGCTTTTCCTGACTCTGTAGTTGACCTCACCTAGGTCCCTTGACTTTTTTACCAAAGGGCTTACAGAGTTTGGGATAAAAGTTTAGGGAGTGAGAATCCAGGTGAATGAGCCCCTCCTCTGGTCTCCGTAGTCCTTCCCTTACATAAAGTGGCTGTGCAAATATAGAACCATAGGAAATTTTCCGGAGGGGCTTTCCTGGACTACTTCCCTGGGAGTGCAGCGATCTTGTAAACTTGCCCTTGGCTGGGTTCCGACCCACGGTGGGCTGGAAACCATGGCTTTAACAGCTCTGCCATTCACCTGACCACACTTTGAACACAGGCAAGGCTAGAGAACGCTGGATCAGTTTAACGAAGCTTATCAATCCTTTGCTGTGTCCTCACCGGGACAGCAGATAGGAGCTTCTGTGGCAGGGACGTGCTCAGAGTAAAACTGGGGGTGCAGATGCGTGGTGGGTGGGCAGCGGTTTCAAAGAGAGGCGCCTCAAGTCTAGTTGGGCGGGTGTTTAGCACAGACCAGGGGACTGTGGATCCCCACATAGGAGATCTTACTTTGAGATAAGACCGAACCCCTCAGAAGGGGAGCAGAAGATCTATAGTTGTGATAGTTGGAAGAATCGAGAGAAATGTGGAACAAGATGTTCAGATCTTGCTTGAGGATCACCCAATCTTTGGTCAGATGGCTGAGGGTAAGGAAACAGGGTATAAAGGTAGAAACCTGGGCCTCCCGATTAGATTAGCCCAAGGAATGGGACAGGGGAGGATGGGGAAGGGAAGGGAGTGTATTTGGTGTTGAGCTAGGTCCAGATTGTGAGGAAGGCCTTGGAGGCCAGGCCAAGGTGGACTTGACTGTGAACAAGGT